ATGACCTTCTATCAGACCTTCTCTGCATCTCTACAGGTTCCTCCATACCTGAGATCGTCCAGACCCCACCCTGGATCCTTCAGTCCAGCCGACAGCAGCTTCAATCCTGACTCTCCTGGATGGTTGTAGCTCAGGTCCAACTCTTTCAGATGGGAGGGGTTGGATCTCAGAGCTGAGGCCAGAGAAGCACAGCCTTCCTCTGAGATCAGACAGCCTGACAACCTGCAGACACACAATTCAACACAAACATGTTCGTTCTCTATATTTTTATTTTTGCATTTTCTCACTTTAACTTGACATTGTGGATCTTAGCAGCAAATGCATTAAGGCTCCAAATGCTTATATAGTATAATAAGATCTTCTCCAAACTATATCAGAATCTTCATGGCTTATTTTCTGAGTTACTGTTCTCCAGTATATCATTCCTTAAATATATCATTCATTCTTGCTGTTTTCTCTTATTGGTAAGGCTTGCTATACCTGCCTGCCTACCTACCTACCTACCTACCTACCTACCTACCTACCTACCTACCTACCTACCAACCTACCAACCAACCAACCAACCAACCAACCAACCAACCAACCATCCATCCATCCATCCATCCATCCATCCATCCATCCATCCATCCATCCATCAATCTCCTTCTGGGTCTCCTCTTGGTGGGACGTGCCCAGGACACCTCACCATGGAGGCATTCAGGAGGAATCCTAATCAGATGCCCAAGCCACCTCAACTGGCTCCTCTCCATGTGGAGGAGCAGCAGCTCTACTCTGATTCCTCCCCGGATGACTGAGCTCCTCACCCTATCTCTAAGGAAGAGCCCAGACACACTATGGAGAAAACTAATTTGAGCCGCTTGTATCTGGGACCTTGTACTTTTGGTCATGACCCAAAGCTCATGACCATAGATGAGGGCAGGAACTTAGATCTAACGGTAAATTGAGAGCTTTGCCTTTTGGTTCAGCTCTGTCTTTACCGCTATGGACGGTACAGCGCCCGCTTCACAGCAGAAGCTGCATCAATCTTCTTGTCAATCTCCCGCTCCATTTTCCCCTCATTCAACAAGACCCCAAGATAATTAAGCTCTTCCACTATGAGCAGCACATCCTCCCCAACTCAGAGTAGACACTCTACCCTTGACTGGCTCAAGACCATGGTCTCGTGTTCGGAGGCAGTGATCCTCATCCTGGTCGCTTTACACTCGGCTGCAAACTGCTCCAGCAAGAGCTGTAGATAACACCCTGATGAAGCCAATAGAACCACATCATCCACGAATAGGCCCAATCCTAGGTTCAGCCACTGACATTGATTCTTGTCCTCGGACAAGCGTGTGCGTCCCAGATGCATCGGTTCAGGATCTGGTGTTTGGGGCGGACTAGGAAACCAACAAAGGTGTAAAGGGAGCAGGATGAGGAGCTGGTTGAGGACTCAGTGACGTTCTATGCAACGCTCCATGAGACGTAGATCTATCCATGTGGCAAGGTCATCCTGCTGCTTCAGGGTCCGAGGGTAGTCCAAGCTGCCTTTTGCTCTCTAGACATCGGGTTTCTGATTGTTACCGCAGACCGTTCTATCTGCCTAGAGAGTTCATTGTGGTTAGCATCACTGCTATATATGTTCCCCCCAGCACTAATACAAAAAATGCCATGAGTACTCTATACCAGGCTATTTCTGAGCTCCAATATGTACACAGGGACGGCGTTTTCTTCATCGCTGGGGATTTCAACCAGGCTAATTTGAAGACTGTTCTACCTCATTTTTACCAACATGTAGACTTTGCAACTAGGGGACAGAACACTCTAGACCTGGTTTATACCAAGAGCAACCCCCGCCCCATCCCAGCTTGTCAGATCACCTTTCTGTCTTCTTATTCCTGCATACAAGCCGCAGCTTATCAGAGCTAAACCAACAGTGAAGGTCAGGGTGTGGACTGAGGGGGCCATGGAGGCACCCAGGACTGTTTAGAATGCTCTGACTAGAACATGTTCAAAGCTGCAGCAACTTATGATAACAATATGAAGATTGATGAATATGTCATTACTGTGTCAGCCTGCATCAACAAATGCATTGAGGACATCAGCAGAACAAAGAACAACATTACCTGGGCCAACATACCACCCTGAATAACTGAGGAGGTTCAAAAATCGCTAAGAGCACTGAACTTAGCCTTCCAGGATCTCTTCCACGAGGCCAGCAACACCAGGAGGATGTGGCAAGGCATACGGGCGAACAAAGACTAAAACACACCCTCTCCCCGAGTAGATGCAGCAAAAGCTGACTTCCTAAATGAACTAAACTAATTCTTTGGAAGGTTATAGGCACTAAACAGCACTCCAACAGTGAAAGCTGTTCCCCATCAGGGGGAGGAGCCACTCTACCTTACATGTGGAAGACTCTAAGAAGAGTGAACCCTAGGAAGGTACCAGGCCCCAATAACATACCTGGGCGAGTGTTCGAGGAGCCAGTTCGAAGAAATTCTTATATTTTGCAAAACTGCAATAAAAACACTTTCTTCGCATTATATAATTCTTGGGATCTGCAACTGGACCTAACTGCCTTGTAAAAACAAAAAGACCAGATGTAGTTGAAGGATGATAACATGGAATATTTGGTCTCATGAGGAGGATTTCTAATTTTCATGGCAATACTGCATTTGCAAAAATTGAGCATGTTAGAAATTGGCTGAATATTAACATAGCTTTGTGCAAATTTGTAATTGAAGAAAATTGGTAGTAAAACTTAACTTTCACTGACTATCAAAGTGTCTACAGAAGGGGCACGCTTTGAGATTTCCTTAAACTAATCCTAAAACACCAAAGATAAACTTATGTTTAGATAATTTTAACCTCTGTGATAGAGTCAAGAAAAGAAGCTGAGACAAAGAATTAAGCTGTGGTTTGAATTCAAAGAAAATAATGGTCAGACAAGTAAGGTTAACGAATCCATTATTGAATCAATTGCATCATATTGAATATCAGCCAATCACTGACATCTGGTTTCAGCAGGATGGAGAATATTTACCTGAGAGTTTCTAGTTTGCAGTTTGGACTCCTCAAGCCAGCAGAGAGAAGCTTCGCTCCTGAATCCTGCAGGTAGTTGATACTCAGGTCCAGTTCTCTGAGACTAGAGGACTGGGAGCTGAGAACTGAGGACAGAGCTGCACAGCTTTCCTCTGAGAGGTTGCAACCACTCAATCTGGGGAGATGTGGAGAAAAATATGTTAATAAACGATTGATCAAAATTCATTCCAGTCTCTAATATTCCCATAGAGAGATTGATGGATTTGCCTTATTTTGCACATCTACATGAATGAACTGAATCAACATGAATCCATATTTACCCCATAGTTAGCAACAACAAATACAGTAACAATCAGTGTCCTTACAGAGCTTTGTTGGAGGCTTTAACCACTGGAAGCAGCCTCAGAAGAACTTCCTCTGACGCAGAGTACTTCTTCAGGTCAAACACATCCAGATCTTCTCCTGATGACACTAAGATGAAAATCAGAGCTGACCACTGAGCAGGAGACAGTTGATGTGTAGAGAGACTTCCTGACCCCAGAGACCGTTGGATCTCCTGGACCAGAGAACGATCCTTCAGTTCATTCAGACAGTGGAACAGATTGATGCTTTTCTCTGCAGAAACATTCTCACTGATCTTCTTCTTGATGTACTGAACTGTTTTCTGATTGGTCTGGGAGCTACTTCCTGTCTGTGTCAGCAGACCTTTCAGGAGACTCTGATTGGTCTGCAGTGA